GCTCGTTCACGTAGTTTCAAAAAGATTTCGGGTGTAGCTTAAGTTTGCGCTGGATGCCTCGTTGGAAACTTGAAAAGCATTCACGACTGACTCGCTGGTACATGTGATTCAGCCTCACATAATGTAGTTTCAGAGGAAGCGTGCGATACTTCGTAAATCTTCTCAATGCTGCTATTTTGATTGACTTCAACCTACGTAGCTCTCTCGTCTGCCAGGGAGCGTGTGACACTTTGTGGTGAGTTCTTTTCGGGACGTGTATGTCAATGACATATGCCAAGACATGTGAAAAGGTTTGCGCTGCAGCCTCAACGTCATCTGGATCAAGGATGTTCTCCCATACCATGCTAGACAATACATCTATGATGCTACGGTGGTCAGCTTTACGGAAGTCATAAGAAACCGTAGCAGGATAGTCGTCGAAACCACGCACGAGTTTGTCCTCAACAGTGACAATTAGAGGAGGGTGATGTGGAACTAGCTTAGTTAGTGCCCAAGGAGCCGAGGAAATTGATGGAGCCCTGTCATGTGTGCTCACGAAGCAGAGGTCCAAACTACGACCATTTTCGTTAACTACATGGTTAATTTGAGAAAGCGTCGCTGCGCTGTAGTTGTCGAGAAGGCTAATAGCTCCTGCGTGAAATGTAGAGCTATCAGAATCTGGGTACAGGAATCCGCTATGAGATGGACTCCACGAAACGCCTGGCAGATTGATGTTACCAAAAATGAATATCTCATCAACTGGAGTGGCACTTTCGATAACTGTGAAAACTGACCGACAGTGAGTATCGATGAGTTCATTGTCGCGGACTCGATCAGGTGGAATGTACAGAGCGCATAGAAATAGTGTCCGATCACCCAGATTGATGGCTGTCCAAACCTGCTCCACATAGTTCCATGAATTGTTCTCGATGGCCTTTGCCTCCAACCCGCCACGGACAGCTACAAGGACACCTCCACCAGTAGATTTATGGCTGTTGTTAGGATTCCGAACGCAACGAAAGACCTCGTAGTCAGGACCGAAGACTCGACTGGAAAGCGTTCGATAATCGAGCCACGTTTCGCACAGGACAATTATATCGTAGCAACGATCCGATACAGCTAGGCGGTACTCTTCAACATCAAAATTCATTCCACCGGCGTTTTGGTAGAAGTTCACGACGTCCTGCTTGCGGCAAGGAATCGAAAGACTGCTCTCCCTGGAAATCACAGATACATCAGGCAATAACTGACCATCATCAAGTCTCATTGGATACTCGCCTTAGTGAGTGAGTTGGAAGACCACCTCTCCAAATCCGACAGCAGGTCCGGAACGACTATGATGAACGAAGGCTGCTGATGGCAGGACTGAGACGGAGGGATTGGGGGCTTCCATGGGGCTTTCTACGGCGCGTTCCGGGTTTCCAGGATTGGGAGTTACAGAGGCATCATCACAATGACTAACATAGTCAGAATTGCTGAAAATTTGATCGGCATCAGGCAGTGAATAGTCAATATATTGATTGTACTTGCTTGTAGAGGCAAGGTGGAAGACTCCTGATTCATATCCAGAGATGAATTAGGATTGTTCGAACAGTAAAGCGGATGTTGTGAATGAGCAGTATCAGAAGTGCTTCTCAACTGGAAACAGCCGGCAGGTGCTTGAAGCGTTGCACTAGAACACGGAAACTGATCAGGCAAATGACTGTAACTAATGTATGCATACTTGCCTGAAGACGAGACCCCACCACCGAACTCGACCGCAGGGTCAGAACGACTCTGATGGCGGGAAACAGCTAGCGCGACTGGATCGAGTGGTTCGAGGTCTTTCATAATGTGACAGGCAGTGCGTTCTGGTCTACAGCGCTCCAATTCACAACGCAAAATCCAATTCTTAATCAGTAGACTGGCTCTAGTCCGGAGAACTCGGAAGGTCCCGGAGTAGGGGAGATCGTGATGGTAGGCGTGTTCAAACGAGGCAACCACATGTTTTTTGAACCGTCTTCAAATTCACGGAACAACATTCCTTTCGGCCATGTATCCGATCTAAGAGCAGCTTCGCGTAGTTTGGGATCCATTCCGACTTTGTACGAGATGAAGCTCATACTGCTGATGTCGGATCCTTTTTTGACTAGCGGCACAACCTTAATCGGATCTTCGCACTGTACACAACCTTTGACCAGCTTCTCGATTGATTCCGATTTCACGCTAGGATGAATACGAGAAAGGTACAGCCAAAACAGCTCGGTGGGTTCAGGGACAGTAAGGACCTCGGTAAAGGCATTGTCGCCTGTTGCTGCTTTAGAACCGCCAACAAGTGGTTTGCTAGTGAGCAAGCCTTCATCGCGGCGCCGTTTTAATGGCGGTTGACGCATGAAATCAGAGTTTATCGGAGTTGTCAATGCGATTCGTTTCGATAGCTGAGCGATCTGCTGTTCTTGCTTAGCCATTTCCTTCCTAAGCTCAGCGTGTGCGATTTCCTGTCTCTCGGTGATAGAATTAATCACTCTGCCAAACGACGAGACGGCAGTTTTGATCCGAGCACATTTCATCAGCTTCACGCACTCGTTACACATCCAAAACAGGTTCGGGCTAGTGTGGACAATGTTCAGAAAAGCCTTATTCAGCTTTGTGCCGCCACACTTTAGGTGAATCATCCTGTCGCAAAAACCCATGCAGAAGACGGATTCTCCATCACCTTTAATTGGTTTAGCGCATTGGTCACAGGCGGAAGTCATGCTGACTCAGTTTCCAAAAGTGATTTAGAAACAGACTTCCGAAAGCTTGTTTAATTTTAAGCGACATGTGAAGCTTTTTGCTATGAAGTGATGGTTTTGACTTCGTTTTTTAAGCCATATCGAGAGAATATCTGAGGGATGACATTTGAATTTTTGAATAGGTGAACTTCAGAATAATACTTGATGTTCTTAAGTCTTGAATAATATTCAGAGGATTTATTGAAACATTTAGATCAGCAGGAGACTGTTTGAATACTTCTCGATCAAGTCTAGGGTGAATATCTGTGGACGTAATTTGAATTTCGAAGTGATGAAAAAATCTCGGGAAAATATCCAGAAGATATTAATCAAATCTTCAATCAGCTGGAAATCTTCAATAATAGGGGGAATGGATGTAATGTCGGCCTAAATGCCCCTAATTTTGGCCCATACAAAAATCAGCAATCGACTAAATTTTCAATAGCGACCAAAAATATCCATTAGTACCGTCCCAATGACGTGTGCATCTAGATAAAATTGATAAATAGCCGATTTTTAGCGATGGGTCCAATCTTAGATCCATAGACCAACATTAGAACCATTTCCCCTACTTGATAAAAAAAAATACAGAGCACTTAACTGAAATCGAAGACAACATATCAAACTCTCCTGTTATTTCATAGTGGTAACTGCTTCCACCTTTGCTCAAGTGCAGCGCTACTGCATCTGTCGCTTGTATTCTGGCAAAGTTGTCAGTTTTTTTGATATTATATCTTCGCTGGAATCGTTGATCAGCTGGAGATTTTTTGAATTCTCCCTGCCGTGTTGAATCAATATCTGAGAGACGACATTTGAATTTTTGAACAGATCTTCAGAATGATAATAAAGTCTTGAAAAATATCCAGAGGACTTTAGTGATATCTTATTGGAAATCCGTGTATATCAACAAAGTTTTCTACATAGTTGAAGATGCTAATTTCAAATAACAGACTAAAGTGGTAATTTTTATACGATAGATGAGGAGATGAAAGTATAGAATTGATAGTTCCGTTAGAGTTCGGCAGTGTGAAAATTGTATTTAGAGAGTAGAAAGTGAGCAAGGACAACTTTAGGAAGGTACAAATCGGTTTGATCTTCTCTCTTTACCAAACTCCCCCGTTGGAGAGGGATGGTGAGGGATGATGGTATTTCTGGACATCTGGTCAGTTCCCTGAAATTTAACGAAGTTTATCAAACTTACAGGAAGTTCGTGTAACTTCTTTTGTAATACGTCCTCTGAAAAACTACTACGCAGTTCCTTAAACTGATGCGAAGTACTAAGAAGTTTGCTGAACTTCTTCGATATTCCCTGAGCAACATTTGTGGAGCGATCTGAAATCGGAACAATCTGACAACGGTTGGTTTCGAAACATCTAATCGCAACTGCAAATGGTCCTTCGAGAACAATAATGCTACATGCTTAGGTTGCTTAGGTTTACTGCATACCTTGTCGAAATCGGGAATACTATCCCAATCATGGAAAAGAGCGGCATCTAAAAAACGGGTTGTGTTAGATCATTCTAGATTTTAACTCAAGAGACCACAGTATAGTCAAATATGATAAGATTTTTCATTCCTACAAAAAACAAATCCAGATTGCCGCAAAGGGTTATTGTTCATTATTATTCCAACTAACGTGGACTCCCGGTAATCTGACCGTTCTTAATCTGAACACTTTTTAATTTAAACCCCGCTAATCCGCACGCCGTACAAACTAAAACTTGCCCTACGTCATTTAGCACATAGGAGTAAAGCGAAATGGAACGATGTGAAACGGAACGCTGAATCAAAACAAAATAGAAAATAAGGCTACCAGAAACTCGCTTTTCTCCTAGTCATAGGGTTACTAGAAGTTCAGATTTAAAATAAATCCTGTTAATTTGCACGTTCAGATTAACGGGAATCCACGGTAGTTAGTTTGTGGACGCCTTGGCACCCGTTGTAGCTAGTTTTCTATGTCACGCATTATTTTTCATGTCGTGCATCATTTTCCTTGTCACGCAACATTATTCATTTAGAGCTTCGCAACATCGACACCATTTTGAGTTTTCCACCTCAACCACCTCAAGGTCTGTGATCTGTGGTCGTCGCTTCCGCATCTGGTTGTCTTGGTGCGTTACACACAGAGATTGAGCTTTTATTATAATTAATAATTCTTCCAAACATGTCGAACAAATAGTTTCAGGTTCGTCATAGGAAAGACCTCGAAAACACCGTTTTGCCATATCCAACAAATTACACCATCATTATCTCTATTGCTCATTCCAGAATCCTGATCTACAATGGCAAAAACAACATGCAAGCGTGGGGTCTCATCGTGCTGCTCATTTCGAAAGCCGTTGGACATGCCCCGTCCGTTCCGGATATGGAACAGGACAAAAGTGCCGGCGTGCTGCACTCGCAGCGTGGTCTGGCCGAGGTTACCGAAATGATTCGCACCTCGTCGCTCGTTCATCAGGGTTTGGTCAACCTACAACCACTGGCAAACGCCGGCAATGAACTCAGCGGCGATAGCGAGATGATTTTCGGCAACAAGATTGCTCTGTTAAGTGGAGATTATCTGCTGGGGAATGCCTGTCTGCAGTTGGCGGGTCTTAAGAACCAAGAGTTGATTGAGCTGATTTCGTCGTCTGTGCGAGATTTGGCTGAATCGAACTTCGTCGGCGATCGAGATATGCAGAACAACCCACTGCCATCAAAACCGGAACCGGGATCGGCCAGAGCAGTATCAAACGACGACGATTTGGGATTCGGAGACTTGGAAGACAATACTCAGCCGTTGAACATCAAGGACGTGCTAGGGAATCCCGAGCGGGAGTGGTCGTTGAGGCATATCCTCGCGGCTGGAAGTCTGCTGGGCAAAAGTTGCCAGGGAGCGTTGATTCTAGCAGGCCAACCGGTGAAACTGCAAAAGCAGGCTTACCTGTTCGGAAAGCACCTATCACTGGCCTGGCAGGCTTGCATCGATATGGAGCCATTCAGCAGTCCCAACCTCTCGCCAGGTACTTGATCTCAATGTGATGGCATTTGTAGGAAATTTTCAAATTTGTTTTTTATCTTTCTAGGAGACCGCTTCAGCCTCATCTCCGCACCGGTATTGTTTCATCTGGAGTACGATCCGACGTTGTACGAGGAGATCAAAAAGGGACGAGAATCAGTGGACAACATAGACTACGCCAAAATTCACAGCGAAGTATTCAAAGGACCTGGTCTGGAAAAGACGTGCAACCTGCAGAAGAAGCATAGTCTGGCGGCAATGGCGGTGCTAAATGAGTTGCCTCCATCGGACGCTCGGACCGCTCTCCAGAACATCATTTTAGCGATGCAGGACTTGTAATATTTATAACTAAATATTCAGCAGGAAATTGCTACGAACCCACTATTGAATTAGACATAGTGAATACTCTTCAGTTTTCTTTTAGAGGTAGGAAAGATGATGTGCGAAGATAACCAAACAAAAAACGAAAATACCATTCCGTCCAGCGAAAGGAAAAATCTTTCAATTGTTACAATGCTGATTTGATGGTGAAACCACTGAATTGATGAGGAAATGATGGACGTTTCCGAACTATGTATTTACTCTTACAAAATGTAGGCAATATTACATTAGGTAGGACGTAGTTTTTAAGTGGTGATTGTGTTTGATTCATACTCTGAATTATATTTATAACTGTTGACTTTTGTAGAACGTTGTTTATTCTCTATCGTCAAACGTATCACAGCCAACAATATGCTGATATTCATCATATCAACGTAAAATGGTTTAGTTACTGAGATAAAAGGAGGATTTTCAACTGTCTCCCAGCAATATTCATATGGATTGTTATATGAAAGCGTACCGCCCAACATCAGGCTTGCTACCAGTACGTTTGGAACCTCCTTTAGCTCAGTTGGTAAAGGCGCAGCTACAAAGCAAGACCATGCTGGAGGAGGCTTGGTTCGATTCCCGGTCCGGTTTAGGAATTTTGCGGGTTGGAACCATACAATTATACTAATGCAAAAATGGTACAGGCATCGAAAGCTCTCAATTAATAACTGTGGAAGTGCACCTAGAACACTAAGTTGAGAGCACGCAATAAGCTAATATGCAATAAGCAATAAGCTTAAATGCGAATAAGAAGAAGAAGACCAGTGCTTTTATGGTAAATTCGGAGCTGGTTAATTTCACATTATTTCTATTCAATTGTTGTCCTGGAGTGGTACGAAGCTAACGGGGTCCCTTTCGTACCCAAGGGCATGAACCCTCCCAACCAGAGCTGGTAAACATCACAGCCGTCATGTGAAAATGAGAAAACAGGCCCTCTCAATATCACGGGACGACACTACCTATCATTGGCTTTCTTGTCATTTTCCAATGATCAAGCACTCTTGAGAATAATTCTTATACGGTTTTGACATGAACATTTCTAACTGATTTAGATGATTTAAAGCAAGCAACCGTATGTAATCGATAGAGTGAATATATTATTAAGATTTCCTCGGAACTAGTAACATTAATAGCAATAAATTAGCTAGTAATTACAATGAACACAACACGTTCTGTCATGACAAAAAAATCGATGAGATTTTGAAGAAAATCTCTATCATCATATTCTTATCCGATGATAGTGACAGAAGCATCTCTGTAAATATCGCGTGAGATCTTTCATTGAAAATGACATTTACCAGCCCTGCCCCCAACGCACCGGAACTAAGGCCCATCGAAATATACTGGGCTATTATGAAGCAGGCACTACGCAAGTATCCTGTGGTGGCGCTAATTAATCAGTCACCCTATCATCTGGCTACCCTGTGAGGGAGCTGTCAGTTGCGAACTGAATCAAAAAGTGTAATCCACGTGAAGAGGAATAAAGTTGGATTTTATTGATTAATTCCGTCGCGTTATTACTTTCTCGTCACTTCCGTCCCACATTTGGTGACCCCGACGTGATTGAAACGGGTTCCGGTCGAAAAACGCCGCAGTTGATTCGAATATCGGGAAAATACGCATTTCTCCGCGGTACGCAAACAAGATGGCGAACCCAGCTCCAGCACAGCAGAATATCGCAGCAGTGGCGGTTAAGTTGCCAGAGTTCTGGAAGAACGATCCGCACATGTGGTTCGCGCAGGCGGAGGCCCAGTTCTGTCTGGCACAAGTGACGAGAGATGAGACAAAATTTTGGCACATCGTCGCCAAAATCGACCAGTCCGTGATATGTCACGTATCGGACTTGGTTTCCAACCCTCCGGCCGAGAATAAATATGGAGCAGTAAAAGAACGATTGATCGCCCGTTTCGCTCTTTCGCCACAGGCGCGACTCGAACAATTGCTTGGCTCCTGCGACTTGGGTGACCTTCGACCCACGCATCTACTAGCCAAGATGCAGGAGAGCTCCACGGGATTGAATGTCGACGATGCATTGATGAAGATGCTGTTCCTTCAAAGGTTGCCGCCAAGTGTCCGAGCAGTTCTGAGCATAAGTGATGGAAGTTTGCAGAAATTGGCTGAGATGGCTGACAAAATGATCGATTCATCTCCGGCCACCGCCGCAGCTGTTCATGTTCCGGCTTCATCCACTGGACAAAATGCTGATTACGCCAGTTTGAAGGAGGAAATAGAAGTTCTGACAGCTGAGATTCGACGCTTGAAAACTGAGCCAACACGAAATCGTAGCAGATCTTCATCGAAACCGAGATCCCGTGGTGACGACATTTGCTGGTACCATCGGAAGTACGGAAATCGAGCGGATCGTTGCAGAGAGCCATGCGCATTCGGCCAGCAAAAAAACTAGTCGGTTGCCCATCTGAAACGGCGCAGGTGGGTACTGGTTTCGAAAGCCGCCGACTCGTAATTTTCGACAAAACAAGTCAGCTTCGCTTCCTTATTGATACCGGCTCGGACGTGTCTATCATTCCAGCGACACGGCGCGAAAAAGCAGGAGGAACTGTTCCATTTTCCTTACATGCAGCAAATGGAACAAGGATACGTACGTATGGGAGTAAATTTATTTCTGTGGATCTTGGGCTGCGACGATGCTTCAAGTGGCGCTTTCTTGTGGCGGATGTGAGCGTCGCCATAATCGGCGCGGATTTGCTAGCACATTTTGGATTGCTGGTGAATCTGAAAAGCCGGCACTTGATTGACGAAACAACAAAACTACGAACAACTGGCTGTTTATCGGAAGTGCCTCTACATGGAATAACTGCAATAGATCTCCATCACCCGTTTCGAGACATGCTTGCGTCGTATCGAGAGATATTAGTTCCACCATCTGTTCAACAGGAAGTAAAGCACGATGTCACACATCATATTGTTACGCGCGGACCACCGGTGGCTTCGAAGCCACGTCGTATGCACCCGGAGAAACTTCAAGCAGCAAGAGACGAGTTCCAAACGATGTGCGAAATGGGCATTTGTCGGCCTTCGAGCAGTAGCTGGGCAAGCCCCCTTCACTGTGTTCCCAAGAAAAATGGTGAGTGGAGGTTCGTGGGCGACTATCGCCGCCTGAACAAAGCTACTGTCCCTGATCGGTACCCAGTACCTCACGTCCACGACCTTGTCAACAGATTCCAAGGTAAGACCATTTTCACTACATTGGATCTAGTTAGAGCGTACTACAACATTCCTGTCGAAATCGCAGACATTCCGAAAACAGCCGTCATCACGCCTTTCGGTCTGTATGAGTTTATGCGCATGCCCTTTGGCCTCTGCAATGCAAGTCAGACTTTTCAGCGCTTTATGAACAAGCTTTTCGGAGATTTGGACTTCGTGATAGTTTTTATCGACGACATCTGCATAGCGTCAGTGAACGCGGCGGAGCATATGGAACACGTCAAATTAGTCCTTGAACGTCTCAAAGCAAATGGTCTAGTGATCAATGCTGAAAAGTGCGTTTTTTCACAACCGCAAGTAGAGTTTCTTGGGTATACAATTGACAAGGATGGAATACGTCCAATTACATCTCGAGTTCGTGCTGTCCTGGAATACAAAATACCAACAATGGTGAAAGATTTGCGTCGTTTTCTGGCATTGATTAACGTCTACAAACGATTCGTACCTCACGCTGTGGAAATTCAGGAACGATTACGAAAGCTTATTCCTGACAATCGAAAAAACGATAGCAGAAAAATTTCATGGGACGAAGAAGCATCTCGTTGTTTCGAACGTTGTAAGCAGTCACTAGCTGAGGCAACATTGCTTCACTATCCTGACGCCTCAAAGCCTCTTGGACTTATGGTAGACGCGTCTAACTGCGCAGCGGGTGCCGTTTTGCAGCAATTCGATAGTGGAAGCTGGAAACCCATCGGATTCTTTTCTCAAAAATTTTCTTCGAGCCAACAGAAGTACTCAACCTTCGGAAGAGAACTTACAGCTGCAAAAGAAGCGGTGAAATACTTTCGACATCTTGTCGAAGGGCGACAATTCACAATTTTCACTGACCACTTTCCACTCACTTATGCCTTAACCACGAATCCGAGCAGTCGGCTTCCCCACGAAGAACGGTATCTGGCATTTATAGCAGAATTCACGAGTGATATTCGCCACATAAGTGGAAAGGATAATATCGTTGCAGACGCTCTTTCAAGAGTTGATGCTGTAACAGCCGGGATTGATTTTGATGTGATCGCCAAGGACCAACAAAATGATCAGCAACTGAAGAAACTTTTGTCGTCCAAAGATACTTCCTTGAAGCTCGAATCTCGGACATTCCCTCATTTGCGTTCACCGTTAATTGTTGATGTATCCACTAACAACAATATTCGTCCTTACGTTCCAGAGAACCACCGGGCCAGCATAATGTCGCAACTTCATGGGTTAGCTCATCCCGGTGCACGTGCTACAAGGCGATTGATCGTAGATCGGTTTGTTTGGCCCTGCATGAATAAGGATATCTGTCAATTTGTCAGGACATGCCAGCAGTGTCAACGTTCAAAGATAACTAGACATACCGTAGCACCATTCTCAAGCTTCGACATACCTAAGGCACGCTTCCGGAACATCCACATAGACCTCGTTGGACCACTTACGCCTTCTTGTGGACATCGTTACTTGCTGACGATCATTGATCGTTTTTCACGATGGGCTGAAGCAATTCCACTGAGCGAAATGACTGCGCCAACCGTCGCCAAGGCTTTATACGCGGGTTGGATATCTCGTTTTGGGACTCCAGAGACAATCACATCCGACCAAGGGCGGCAGTTTGAGTCGGAGGTATTCAAGGAACTCACGCGTTTGCTTGGCGTACACCATATTCACACCACTGCATATCATCCGCAGTCAAACGGAATCATCGAACGATTTCACCGTACACTAAAAGCATCTCTTATGTGTGCAGGTGGGCGTGATTGGCACGACCGCCTTCCTTTGGTTCTGCTAGGACTTCGATCGGCTTATCGAGAGGACTTAAAGTGTTCATCTGCAGAACTAGTATATGGTCAAGCACTCAGGATTCCGGGAGAATTTTATGATCCTCCTACAGCAAACGTCGATCGTTCTGAACTATCCAGTTTTCTGCACAAAACATTCAGCGAACTAAATGCGCCTACTCCGACTCACCATGCAAAGGAAAGGCCGTTTGTGCATCAAAAATTGAAGGATTGCAGTCATGTCTTCATTCGGGTGGACTCAGTCAAGAAACCGTTCCAGCAACCTTACGAGGGACCCTACCAGGTTTTAAAAAAAACTGACAAATTTTTTGAAATCTCAATTGGAGGAAAACAGCGCACCATATCAATCGACCGTATTAAACCTGCTTTCTTATGTGATAGCAGCTTCTCCAATCACCCCCAGGACGATAAGAAAACTGTAGTTACACAATCAGGACACAGGGTTCGTTTCCTAGTGTAACTGGAGGGGCATATGTGGTGGCGCTAATTAATCAGTCACCCTATCATCTGGCTACCCTGTGAGGGAGCTGTCAGTTGCGAACTGAATCAAAAAGTGTAAACCACGTGAAGAGGAATAAAGTTGGATTTTATTGATTAATTCCGTCGCGTTATTACTTTCTCGTCACTTCCGTCCCACAATCCCAATCAGGTCAAATCTGAGGAAGACATGAAGAAAAAGTCGGTTTCCGTACAGAAAAAGCTGCAGTAAGTTGTTGTACAGAACCTAATGAGTGGAGTTAAGCGTAAGGTGCGAGCGTGCGGCTGTGATATTGAAGTTGAATGAAATAAATATACCAAAAGCTTACTTATGGGTTATATTTGATTGTCTGAAAGTTTGAAAAGGATCGGTCAACTAGGTAATTTTCTACAGCGTTTTTTCCATGATGCAATTTGATGCGCGACACCCTTTAATGTAACCTCCGTTACATGAAAACTGAATTATACTTCTTCTTTCATCGCTGATCGGTGGATTTGTAAGTGGTACTTGATCATATTCTTTGCGCAGTTCTATCTCTGAACCTTCGCTTTCCTTCAATGTTTTATCCCCAGTCTTTGCAGTTATCTTTGCAACCTTTCTCTTTTTCTGCTTTGCAAATCCTCAACAACCTTTATGATCTTAAACTAAAACTAGCCCTAATGAAGATCCCAATTCCTGGACCGGAACGTTGACGCTGATAAAACTGTAAAACTTTTTGTTGAAGACTGTAAGCTAAAATAAAAGTACGAATTCTTCAAGGTCTTTAAACGTCCCCGAAAGTCTAGACTTCCCTGAAGTATTTGAAACTGCCCTAAAGATCTCCGAACTTCAATGATCTTCCCTAGATCTGAATTAATCAGAGGTTTTTAAAGGTTGACGCAATTTTTCTGAATTTAATTGCACTCTCCTGAAGTGCTTTGGTCCATCCTGTAGCTCACACAGTTTTTCTGATGTTTTTGATTCTTCCTTGGAGCTCATGACACTACCATTAAAGCGAAGACAACATATAAAGAAAACTGGCAATTTTGCCATAATCCAAGCGACAGATACAGTTACACTGCCCTTGAGCGAAGGTGGAAGCAACGCATAGAAAAATGAGCAAACACAAACCTTTCTTCTGAGGATGGAACCTTTGCTACCCAATTCGTTCGGAGCATTTACCTTTGAGCGGCAGATGACGCCATTGTGTCTGTATCATACCGGTCGTGTGAGAATATGGGAGATAAGTCTCTTCTCTGAAGTTTCCTAAATTTGTAAGATCTTCTCGAATTTTCTCTTACATTTCTTAATATTTCAAGTTGTTCTCGGAACTTCTCTTGCGTTCCATTTTTTATTCTTATATTCATTGAAATTTTCTGAAGAGCAAACATATTAACAGAAATTTTCTGATCATTCCTGAAATTCTCGGAATATTCCATAATTCTTCGGAACTTCTTGAAAGATCCTGCAATTTATAAATGGAACTTCTCTGAGGATCTTTGATCTTCCTCGAAATACTAGGTACCTCTATGAAAATAATGATACTGCTTAAACAGGGTGTCTACTCAATCCAAGGAATCAAATTCCCTGAGTTTTCCAGGTTTTTCTAGGTCGGATGAAAAAAATTCCAGGTGCATACAAATTATACACATTATTATTTTATCTATTTATCCATCTGGAATCCCTTTTATGTACTTATTGATTTATGTTATTTTCGATTCTTCAAACTTAGGCGTTGGTACTTTTAACTCGGCACAGCAAAACAGTTGTTGAATATTACAGCAGAACAGATGCACATAGGTTGTTTAATATTAATTTGTACAATTTATGTTTAGTAAATGCACCAATACGTTAGTACAATGTACTTCTACAGCGGCTTAGGGAGACTCTATAAGCCACCATAGGAACACATTGCACTAAAGTACCTCCACTATTGGTGCATTTATC